GATTTGTAGAACAACTGTCTAATATCTGTGCTGTAAGGAAATTCTCTCCTCTGAGTCGTGGATATATGCTCCTTTTGGAGAGTATTTTATCCTCTCGGCTGCTTCCCTGAGTATTGCTTTTGTTCCTTGACCCTTCACCTTTGGTGGATGACCAACTCTCAGATGTCACATTGTTTTTATTTTAAGGTCATCAATTGAAAAGAGTTTGGAGGTTTGTAAGGTTTGAGGTGTGTGGTCAACTTTATCTCTTTCTGGTGGGTGTCTTTGTTAAGATGTTCTCCTATGACCGCTGCTGCCTTCACAGACCTACAGTATTTACTTTAATATTCAAGAATTTACATTTAAAAATGTAATCCGTTCTGAAAGCAATTTGCTGCTATGGATTTGATTTTGGGGGTTAAACATTTATATTTGCAAGAGAAAATGTACACACATAGGCATTTATTTTCTTTAAGTTTTCACTGTGTTTTGTTATGTTCTTTCCTGTAAAATCTATTTGAGCTTTTACCCTTGCAGGGTTTTTCAGCCACAGAAATTTCAGTACCTTCGTTAAATCCAACTTTCATATTATTATAATGGTTAAGGAACATTAATGCCCGGCTCAGGTAACTTTGACAGGGAAAAAAAACATAAAACAATCATTGTGAGACAGAGATGAATGGCCTCTTTACATTTAACAAGGATTGAGGTACAAGAGAGATTTGGCCAAACTGTATGTTTATACCCTTACTTTCATTTTCCAGTTGGCTCTTTGAGATTTCTGAGGTTTCCTGCCTCAAGTGAACCTTAAAATCCTCCCGCGTTGCTTTTTCGTTAGCAGAAATATTTAACCCCACTGTTCTCATAAGAGCCCATCACCACTCTGACCACTACCCTTTCTGCCAGAGGATGATAACTCACAAGGACCACATGGTTGTAATTACAGCCTTCTCTAAATCCACGGAGCAGAACTCTTTCCATACTGAACCTGAATACCATGAAAAGAAAAAAAAAAAAAAACACTTTCATGCTCAAGGGAGTCAACAGTTGCAGAAAAAAAAGATCCAAGTGCACAAAGTCACCAAAATGAAATATAGTAGTGAAGAGACATATCTTTTTCTGTGTCAGATGTTAATGCTTGAGACGGGAAGCAGATGTTTCACCCCACAGGCAGGCCGTTTGGTCACACGAGTTCCCTGCATAACACTTGTCAGACCTTAATGCTTTACAGCAGATACCAGTCATCACTTATCACACCGTTCATAGAGCAAGGCACATCCCTTCTGTCAAAAATATAAGTTTTACTCTTTAGTTTGACACTAAATGGATGGAAAACAAGCTTCTCTTCAGCTCATGATAAATCAGAAATTCTGTTTTACGGTGGTCAGACAAAACTTTACTTCTTATTTCTTTCCAAGCTGAACTTTAAATTTCAGATTCAGAATTAAGGATTTGTGATTTATTTTAGGCTTTCAAACAGCTTTTAGAGTCATGTGGGAGGACAAATGAATTATGTCTGCAGCAAGTGAGGATTATGGATGTCGGTTTAACAGCGTCTGGATTTCAGTTTCATGAGAACAGGTCATCATGCTTTCTCTGTGGGTCTGTGTTGTGTCTTATCGAAGAGACAGAAGATATTCTGACCCAGCCGGGAAAAAAACAAAAAAACAACAACAAACAGAATTACAAATAACCTCCAAACCAAAGAGACACACAGAATGGCTAAGAAACTTTCCTACTATGCTTATGTATGGATTGAGTGTTCTATTCCATTTACTTGTACAAACTTAGATTATAAAATGCAATCAAGACCAAAATCCTTAATACCCTTGCCAGATTTAGATGTATATTTTGCTTCTAAAAAGAAATAAGACAGGCATCAATTAAAGATTATCAACCAACAAAAAAAATAACTTTGAAAAAAGGAAAAGAAAATTACTTACAAAATCTTGATCTTATCAAAAACTTCTTAGAGGTCAGTGGAATTACAGCAATCCAAATGTTCTGACCAGCTTTTTACGAGATTCTTCAGATTTCTTTTGTGATGTGCTTCAGGTCCACCCCAAGCCTTAAGATGATGGCAAGGACCAAATCCAAAATGGGTCACCTAAAGGAGCAATATATTTGTACAGCTTAAAGAACATTTAAACTACTGGAGGTATGGATAATTATTGATTTAAATCTACATGTCCTCACTAACTGTTGGGACCCCTGACAAAGATAAGTAATGACATTTGAAATAAATACATTTTTATTGCTTTAGCAGAACATCTTACTGAAAATCTAACACTGAAACATTGAGCTACGTAAGGTTTTTTTTTTTGCTCTACTTCCTTTTTCCCACTCCTTGAAATAAATCAGTATCTCTGTCTGTGTTTGTTAGTTTTAAACCACTGAAATTATTACTAAGGCAGAAAATATAAGCCAGATCAGGAGAAACTCTTTATTTTCTGTATCTGTCTTTTAAATTATTAGGATCAACATAGATTTCCCTTGGCTTTCATGGCATCTCCTCCTGTTTTATTGTTTTCATATTTTGCGATGTGGGCTAAGACAAATTGTGCACCAGCGTTATGTCATATTTATACAACTCAGGGAAACTACAACGCAGCCTGATACTGTATACTATCTAGGCATCAGAAAAAGCCTCAGTAAGATCTCTTTTTAGGTTGGCATATTTGATTAAAACAATCATTTAACATCAGATCAGAGTTGTTTATTTTAAGGTATATTGCTTATCTCTACCAGGCATGCCAAAAATGCTGGGGAGAAAATCATGAACAGTTTGTACCATTACTGCACCTCTAATTGTGTTGTTGAAATAGGACACATTTTAACAAAGAAGAGGCAAAACAAAAGTTTTTGGTTTCCCCAGTAGCATCTTAAAGGAGTGCAGTCAAATCGTTCTCCAGTGCAAACAAAATGCTGTGGAGACAGGTCCAGTTGAGCAGCTCAAAACAACTTTAATATAACAATTATGTTTGCTAAACTACATACTTTATTTGGTTTTAGTCTCTGTTAAATGTGCATGAAGCCAAAAAAATGGAAATCTTTTGAGTAGGCATTATTATTGGTTAATCCTTGTGGTTCATTTACCGGTACTTAATGTGTGCCTTTAAAAGTAATGTTTATGCATCCAACTAGATTTGCATATGTAAAGTAATATCTTTTGTAATGTCACATTAAATTTTTTTATTTTAGTGATGCACCATTTACTCATTCTTGATTAAAATGGGACACTATTCTATTAACTGGCTTTGACCAATTGGTTGCAGTCTTATAATAAAACGTTTGAATGTCTTTTCTTGTTAAATAATTTCATTAACTATAAAACAACAAGCAGTATGTTCTTTAATGCTCTTTGTTATAAAAATAGAGAAAAGACCTGATCTGGTTATTAACAGCAATATTAACAAACTTTACTCCTCTTAACTAGTAGGTGTCTGTACTTGTTTGCTGTTGTTCTGTATTGTTTGCTAGCTTATTGCCAAGATGGCTAATGCCAAATATTATCATTAACAAATATTTAACTTACTTGTTCATAAAGGAAATCAGGAATCTCTGCATTGATTCTGAGTCACACTAGATTTAGTAAAATATAAAGTGTCTTAGAAGGTTCAGATTCGTAAAAAAAAAACAAACATGCAGGACTGTGAGCCCCATGGACTAGAACCTTGGGAGAACAATACAGGCTTAGTAAAGCTTATGCATTTCCTGCAGCTTTCCAGATTGCACTGATCTGCTTGAGAGACAAAGGGGTTTCAGAAACCTGTTTTAACTTTGCAGACAGTGATGTGTGCTATAATATTTGACAAGGAGGGAAGTACACACCTTCATCAAGGCTATCAGAGTCCCAAGGCTGCTTTTTCTGTAATGAAGTCCACCTGCTGTCTGTGGTAACTGATCTGTGCCACCTGGCAGTCAAAAGCAGAGACATCCTAAATCAGTTTTCTCTGAATTTGGTGAATTTAGTCACGTGTCTGGCGCATGAATGTGAAGGACTCACTTCTTAAACTGACCATCCTTCAATCCATCTTGTGTTCCTTTATGCACAATGCTTTCACAGATCACTGACGTCTGTGAATTATTTCCTTAACAAGAAAAAAACCTTTAACTAAGCATAGAAAAGTAAGCTAGATCAGAAAGTAACTTTGTTTTCACTGGACAGTCTCATTTTCTTACAATACTTGATTTGTGAACCACTGAAAGGTTATCTTTGAGGTGAAAGGTGAAAATAAGCAAAGTAAAAAACTTTCAGGTTGTGTCACCCCTAGTCTTAGCGACTTGGTGGAGGGACACATATATAAAAACAACTGTGAATGTGTGTGCTTTTTAACCAGTTTGTCTGTATTTTTTTATTCTTCTTTACAGCATACAACCAGTTTATCATACTCTACAACTATTGCATTTTTTTACAACTACTTTTGTTGAGTTATCTTCTATCTTTATTTACGTTATTGTGTTTTTTCAGGTATTGTAGATTTATTATTGATGAAAGTCTTATCATAAAGCTAATTGGAATTAGGACCTAATCAAACGCTTTTCAATTTATTCCTAAGGATTCATGAGATTGAATTCAACCTACATGAAGTCTCACATTTCCATTTGTAAAAAGGAAAAAAGGTTTTTAGTATTTCAGTCTTCTTTATCTGCTCTCAAATTTTTCTCATTTTACCAGAAGTTTTTATGAGAGCTTGCAATGGGAGTCCTAATCACCCCTGAGAAACATCCTCAGTCTGTGATTGAGTCTGTGGGAAATATTCATTTTCCATACCTGAAGCCAACATTTGCAGTCATTATGTAAAGTAGTATCTCATAATAGGATAAATCTTCCTTCATTTGCATATTTTTCATAGAATGATTTAAACCTTTAATCCTTTTCTATCATCCCAGAACATATATTTTAATCATTTTATTATTGTTGGCCTTGGTTTTTTGAAAGCATTTTTACTTGGTTATATTATTGCACAAAAGTCATCTTTTAGATTTAGTCTGACCGCTCTGTTTGAATGTCTCTGCAGGTGTGATCCGTGAGAGCTACCAGAAGGGTCGGGACCAGCTGGTTCCTGTGACCCTGCTGGCCATCGCTGTCATCTTGGCATTTGCAATGGGGGCGATCTTCTCAGGTCTCATAGTTTACTGTGTCTGTGACCACCGGCGGCGAGATGTAGATCTGACAGGCCGGAAGGAGAAGGACAGTCTTCACCTACACTCCCGCCGTGGGTCGATGAACAGCGTGACTAAGCTGACTGGTCTCTTTGAGACGCAAGCCAAAGATGGCCGCCCAGAGGCGATCCTCACCCCTTTGATGCACAATGGGCGACTGACGCCGAATGCCAAGATGCTGATAAAAGCCGACCAGCACCACCTGGACCTCACTGCTCTGCCAACGCCTGAGTCCACACCCATGCAGCCGCGCCGTAAACCCAGCCGTGGAAGCCGTGAGTGGGAAAGAAATCAGAACCTCATTAACGCATGTACCAAGGACATGCCGCCTATAGGCTCTCCTGTCATCTCCACTGACCTGCCCCTGAGGGCTTCACCTGGACACATCCCCAGTGTGGTTGTATTGCCTCTCCCGCAGCATCAGCACCAGCTTCAGCCTCATCTGCAGCAGTCTTACCAGCATGAGTATGTAGAGCAGCCCCATCACAGCGACTTAAGCATGGCTCACTGCGTCATGGACGACCAAGGTGCCACTTTGGAATACAAGCCTGGTAAGAGCCACATGGTGGATCCCGATGGGATGCTGCCACCTCGTGTCCCCCAGCGAGAGGCATCCCTCACCGTCCCCCCCGCTGTTCCGCAGATGGGCAAACGTCTGGAGGTCCATTCCTCTGTGTACGGCCTCCGAAAAGGATCTGCGTCTTCTGCCTCAGGGTCTTCCGCCCTAAGGAAGCACAACACCAACTCATCCAACTCCTCCCATTTGTCGAGACATCACAGCTTCCGTGTGGAGAGCCCACCTCCTGCACCTCAGAGGGTGGACTCCATACAAATGACAACACAGGGGATATCGCTGTCTCGACAGCCTGGAATGATCAACTACGGCTCGCTGCCCAGAACGGGAAGCAAACACCTCAAACCCGATGTCCCGCCAAAACCTTCGGTAGTCTCTCTCTCAACAAAAGCAAAGTCCTGTGACTCTGGCACATAGTCAGCTCGTAACCCTCTTAAACCAGACTGAACAGACATAAGCAAAAGGTGTTTTCAGACAGAAAGAAGAAACAGGGAATATTGTTCAACTTGCATCTCCGTTTAGTGCATTTGTTTTTGTTTGTTTTTTTTTTCTGTGGGAAAAATTACAGTTTTTTTAATAAAACAATTTGTTTTTATATAAATATGTAAATATCCAATGGATGTTGTCTGTTGCTGAGCTAAGATCAGCTCCCAATTTGTCTGTAAACACTAATAGGAAGATGTTCAACTGAAAGAGGAAGTGAAGCCTGTCCTGATTTTTCACGTATCGGCACCCTGTAGCATTCAAGATGGTGGCTTTCCAGTTTGTAGTGTCTTCAGCCACCAGGACTTGACTTTTAATACATTATCGTGCCGATTGATGCTTACTGATGCCGACTGATGCGTGCGGGGGTCAGAGGATGAAGAAAAATCAATGTACAGAAGCACTTGGAGAGACTGGGTTCAGACTGAGTCCTGTTGGATACTGTGAAAAGAGTCTCAGTGTTACAGCAATCAAGATCTGTCTGGGTTCGGCTCAAACCCCGGCAGGAGGAATCTTCTACTGTACTGAACAATAAGTGACTGATAATACTAATAGCCTGTTGTATTTATTTTTATCAAGTGCTTTAAAAGAATGAACTGACTTTTTAGACTCGGACAGAAAGAGAGTGAAGACAAAGAGGAGGTCTTCTAATATTAACTAATCAAGTGAGGAAAGCAAAATATTTAAAGTCATTAAACTGGAGCCAGTAGAACTTTTCCTGTCGACTTCTAAAAGGTCTTACTGTGTGCTCAGTGAGACCGGCAGCCTGACATACGATGAAGAGGAGGAGCTATTTATTTAAACTGTGCCAGACCAGACTTTAACCTTTACAGAGTTTCCATTTTTTTGACCAATCAAGAACGATAAAAAAAATCATTAAAAAAATTGCAAAATTTCCCCTTTCACTCCTCCAATGACAAACCCTACCCCTCCAACCCCACCCACCCTTTCCCCCGTTCCTCAAACCAAACCTCCAATCAGCACTGTGGTTTTTTTCGTCTGACTCCTAAACATCCGTCCTGATTAGCTCACTGTTGCATGTCACACAGAAAAAGGAAGAGGCGCTACAGAAACAGTGCGGTAATAAACATTCAAATATAAGCTAAACGTTGCAACAGAGTGACGCCGGTCCATCATGGTGTCACATGGACGAGTAGGCGGGAAAAAAAAAAAAAGAAAAAATGGAAACAAAAAAAACTTTTTATCATCTGCTTATTTTTCCACATGTAAATTTGTGCCTTACACCCTAAAGTAGTGACAATGTTTTTTTGTTTAATAGCTGTTAACTTTGTGTCCCCATTGTATTTTTCTTATTTTTATTTTCTTACGTCATGATATTTCCCTTGTTTGATAAAAATGCAGTTAAAGAATGTAGGTGTTATTGTTGTAATTCTGGTCCCTTAGAAATTAACAGTTAACAATTCAGATGGAGAGGAGAGGAGGGAGCTATCACTTTCTTCTTTTTTACTCTTTCTGCACAGACTCTCACATCATCATGGTTCATTTCTGACTGTGCCATTAAAGCTTCAAGCTGCCCTTCATGTTGATTTGGCATTGTCAGTGATTTGATTATTTTTTTTTGTACAAGTCAAACATGCTGGTGTTTGTTTTTCCTCATTTATGTTGTTTGGTGTGATTACCAGAAGTAAAGATTTGTTAGTCGCTAAGAAGGCCGAGGTAGCTTTCCGGTGCATTGCAATAATAATGCAACAACAGCACCACAGCAAGCTAGTAGAATATACAATAGGCCCTCAGTGAGCTAATAGCTCACTGCTTCTTAGAAGCATCCATTTTGTAGGTCTTGCATAAACAGGCTGGTTCCTGTGAAGAAAGCTAGGATTTTGAATCAATATTAAAAACTTTTCTCTCTTTAACCCCGTTTTGGTAAGAAAAATTAAAAATAGCATTTTTGCTTTTTTCATTTTTGCCTAACCGACTTTTTTTTATCAAGGCCTGAGAGTTTGACTGATATGACCTCTTTCGTTTCCGTTGATCACCCCTCACCAAAACACTTAAATCAGTGGAGCCTAGTGTTGTATGTGTAGATAGGTCAGAATTTTCTTGATGTCCAGCTTTTTTGTTTTGTTTCTCAATGGAGGAAAGCCAACAATGTCTCTATCCACAGCATTTTTAAGAGGGATATGTAGGATCTAAATGTTTTTCTTTTTCCTTTTTAAAATACAAAGTCAATATACTTACAAGATTCGGTTACGAAATCAGAACAAAGGTTCTGTATTGAAACAAGTTGACAGTTTTTCCAGGTTAAACAGTGTTGGGAACATTTACTGGCACTCCTTTAAAAAAATCACATTAAACAAAACAAACAAACAAAAACCGTTTAAATTGGCATTGTTTATTGCAATAACATTATCTAACAAGGTTAAGTTAAAATACTGCATCACTAAAGAAAAATCTCAATGAAGTCAACAAAAAAAAAATCACCAGTGCCAATACTGTTTGCAGCCTCATTTACTGTAGCAATCAAAACAGTCTCCTATGGTTACTCAGAGCCCTAAGATGTTGCTTAGTCGTGCTTTCTTACCTGGGACTATCCCTACATATTTTATTTTATATTTATTTTTATTTATTTATTTTTTTGGCCACGAGTCCAGTTTGTCTATCTTATGAGCATTTCTGTGCAGATCTGGTAACCAGCCCACAGCATCACACATTATCTAATGTACTTTACAGTGGGAATGAGATGTTTTTCTGCAGGTTACTCTAGCCTTTTACTCCAAATCTTTTACACCAAAACTTTTTGGCTGAAAAATCTAGAAATAAGTACAAATTTCTTAAATTAAGTGGATTTATCCTTAATTTGAGTAGGTGAATAAGATTATTTGCCAATGATTAGATAATATGCACTTGAAATAAGACAATGCAATTGTTTTTTTCTTATTTTAAATGTAAATCGTCTTGTTTCTCTGGTAACCTGTCTCACTTAGTTCCTCAATTCAAGAAAAAAAGTCTTATTTTAAGAAAAAAATGATTTATTTAGATTTAGACCATTTTTTTGCAGTGCAGGCTCATCTAAACAAAGCACAAGGTTTCAGTCCCAGGAGGTTTATGCAAATTCCACCTTTTGCTTTTGTGATGGCAAGATTTTTTTTTTTTTCTTGGCATCATTCCTAATCTTCTAGATGGTGTTCAGCGTTGTCTCAGGGAGCCCAAGCTGTACTCCAGCATAAGTTTGGAGCTGCTTTTTAAACCCCCACCATATTTAGCATAATGTTAAAATATATATTGATCCTCATTCAACCTTTTTTATCACAGTTTCCGTTGATTTTACAATATTCCAGTTATTGCTCTGACTGGAGATAATCAAAAGTCAAAGCAAGAACACCTCTTACTCAATTGTCTCTGATGAATTTGCTTCTTGAAAGGGATGCCATTATTAATAGAAGAGTGGCTAAAATAAATGGGCCACCATGCTCTGATCAAATTCAAATTTTAAAACCTACATTGAAAATAAAAACATTTCAGTAATGATGCCACTGGTGAGTTTTTTTTTTTAACAAGTACTTTTTTTTTTCACTATAGGATAAATTGCCTAGATTAAAAAGTTTGGATTTTTGTGAAATCTTAAATGTGAGGCTATTTTATTGTAATCGAAAACATTTTTTTAAGCTTTTTACTTATCAGCTGTGCCATTAAATGTCTGCAAGTTTCCCAAAATAGTTTCAACAGGCTTCATCTCCGATAGTAACTGGTCACAAGTGTTTGTCACAAGCCTGGAATAAAACTGACAACTTGTTTGTAAATGTTCTGGTTCATGACATCATCATGTTCACACAGATTGAGGAAAACACCCCCTGTCTAGGTAGAAGGGCTAATCGTGCACTTTCTGTGTAGACCGGTGGATTTTTTTGGGTGTTTTTAGGTGTGAGCATCAAGCATTTAGATGTCAGAGCAGGATTTTTCTTCAGGCTGGATTAGAACTGACTGTGATGGCTGCTGTGGACAGTGAGGTTCTTTAGTGTGTGCCTTTTTTGTCTTTCACCCTTGTTATAATTCACTGCTGTTAGATGCAAATCAACTCTTATTGACTTTTCAAACTTTTGAACTTTGTAAGCTTGTAAGATATTGTGACGTCACAAAGTTTTTTGCCCTACTCTCTCTCCACTTCCTTAACATCTGATTCACAGCTTAATGTATGTTGTAAAGAAAAAACTCTTTAATTTAATGCAAAATGTAATGAAAAAAAAAAAGAAATAAAATTCTTGTCACGAAGACTGACATGTCCTTGGCTTTTTCACTCGTTTCTTTGCCTGAGGCTGCTATCTGTCCAATTTGACTTCTTTTAAAGGGTTTCCTTTAGTATGATATGAAAATGAAGATCTGGTTTAACACAGGATCTGAAGTCTTTTTACTTTGGGGATCTTAAAGGAAAATGTTTTACTCTGTGACCTTCAGGTCTTCTCTCCTTTTAAAACTATCAACCCCATGAAATACTAGGAAACATTGTGTGAGTTGTGCATCAGAAACAAAGTAAGTCTCTGTGGATTAAAGCATTTTAAAACTACAGCTACTTTTTAAGTCAATTCAAAATGTTATAGTTGCACATATACGGTATATTCTAAAATGTGTCTCTGGTGCTTTGATGAATATTGTTTACTGCTGATGATAATCAAGATTTATAAACAGAGAAAATTTTTTCTCATGCAGAGATTGTAAAGAGTATCTTGAAGAGGGCAAACGCAGAAGTTTTTTTCTGTTTATTTGTTTTACAGCAGTCAAGATGGGTGTAATCCATCAAAGATCATAGCTAGGGAGCTGGACTCTTCAGAGTTCTGTATTCAAGAATAATAATGGAAAGTTTCTATTTAAAGGGAAAAGAATTACAGGATAAAAAAATAAAAAACTGTCAACAGAGAAACCTGCAGCCTTGATAGAAATGTAAAGCAAAGCTCATTCAAGGTGTTGAGAGAAAGAGGAACTGTCTGAGTCCAGCCTTGCAGAAGGAGAAATAAAACTGGACTGTTGCTCAAAGACAGGTGAACTCCTCATTTTATATTTTATGAAATTTTGCATCTTATTCGAAGAAGAAAAAAATTACAGCATCTGGAGGAATAGATTAGAATCAGAAAATTAAATCTGTCTCACAACTAATGGAAAAACTAAATTGAAGATTAAAATATTAAATCAGACAAATAAAAACAAAGATTTTATCACAGAAATGTTGGGCAAAAGAAAAGTTTTTGATAACTGCAGAGACTACGTCAGAAAAAGTTTTATTCCCAAAAATGTTTTACATCAGCCAGGAATTGGCTTTGGTGATGAGGTGCTACACACAGACCAACAAACATACAGATGACATGCATCTGTCATCGGTTTAGAAATAAACAAAAGAGTTTTGTAACAATGTGATGTAACAAGGTACTATTAGTGTGACAAAGAACCCTCAATGAAATGCTTATATTCATAGAATTTCACTATAAGCAATTCCAGATGCACCTTTATGGGCCGGTTAGAACACCCAAATCCTACGAGCATAATAATGGACAGTTTCTATTTGAAGGAAATAGAAGGAACTGCAGGATAAAAAATAGATTGCAGAATAAAAAATAAAAATGAATTGCAGGATAAATAAAAATAAAATAAAATAATTGAAATAATTGCATTAAAAATAATGCAATTTATATATATATTTTTAAATGCCTAACAATTTAATATATTCAATTTATTAACATATTAATAAACTTATTTTTTATTAATATGAAAAATAAATTGCACGGAAAATTGCAGGATATTACGAGCACAGACTCGTAATGTGTGCTTTTTGGTGTTTGGGGGGAAGACATTGTATTAAGTATTGCATGGGGCAGCTGATTATCCCAACAACTTCTACTGACCATCTAAATCAGTAAGCTGAGATATTAGGGTGGTGTCGACAGTGGTGTCGGATGAAGGAGTTTGACCAGAGGGTTGTTGGTTCAAGCCCCAGCTCCAGTTTTCAGTGTCATTGTGTCCTTTGGCAAGACGCTTCACCTGCATTGTCTACTGATGGTGGTCAGAGGACCTGGTGGCGCCAGTGTGCCGCAGCCTTGCTTCAGTCAGGGAGCCCCAAGGCAGCTGTGGCTACAATGTAGCTTGCCACCATCAGTGTGTGAGTGAATGGGTGAATGACTGAATGTAGTGTAATGGGTGAATGTAGTGTAATGGGTGAATGTAGTGTAAAGCGCTTTGTTCAAGTACTCTGACTTGAAAAAATGCTATATATGCACAGGCCATTTACCATTTGTCAAATGTGCTGGTGATGAAGCTGAAAACATTTTTTAATTGATTGCACATTGGCACTGAGCAAGCTTTGCTTACAAGACCCTTCGTTTTGCAGGCTGCCCCAAAGAGACTCTCTTTCAACCCAACAGCACCTCATGGACCATTAGTCTACACAGCACATCGCAAGTTGTAATTACATTTCAAATATATGTCCCCTCTGGCGGTTCTGTGTTGTCAAAAGGGTCTGCAGTACCATGACAACTTAATACTACAGAGAGTTTTTTTCCTCTTTTATTTTTTAACAAATAGTTATCATTTATAT